GGCCTACCTGTTAAATAACAGGCTCATACTCTTTGGTTCTTTCGGTAAAGTCACGTAGGTAGAAAATAAATAAATTAAATCACGACGTTTTGGGCGCAGCACAAGCGTCCGTCATCAGGGGGGATAACCACAGCAAGAAACAATTGCTGGGGTCCTGACACCATACCTAATGTCGTACCTATCACTTCAGCAATTGTTTCTTGCTGTGGTTGTCCCACTTGATGACGGACGCTTGTGTTGCGCCCGAAACGTCGTGATTTAATTTAGTTTATACCTACGTGACTTTACCGAAAGAACCAGGCTCAGTTTGATCATTATATGAACGCAAAAACGCGCTTGTACAGCTCAGGCCCCAGTCTGGTTCCGGTATACTTTTTGAATGGTCGTGGAAATTAGGCAATGGTGAGGTTTTCCTGGATAAGCAAAGGGCAATTATTTATGCCAAAAAGTCAGTGGCTTCAAGTTCAATCCAAGCAAGGGGAGGCACTAGTCTGCTATTTTAGCCACTACTCAACTTCTCACCCACTTACTAGCCGACAGTCCAGGCTCACGTTATTGTATTAAATGTGCTACTTATTATTATTGTGAAATGACCTAATTTACATTTGGACGCAGAATGTTTGACTCGTGTATAAAGATAGAAAATCTAACTTATTAAGTTTGAGAACTGTCAGTCTTAACAATGTGATAATTTTACTGCTTTAGAAATAGGTTCAGTAAAATATAAATGAATTACTACAGCAAACAACAATGCCACTCACCTTAGGCATATATAATAATTAATTTCCACAGCATACTAAACACTGCACCATTATCACAAAAATCTAGTCTATAAACTAAACACGAGGGAAAAAAAATCTGTTTACCCTGGTGACTTCAGCACTATTTATAAACATAGCTGGCAAGTACATGCACACACAAATAAGAAATGTACTAAGGTAGTGTACTAACAAGCACTTGTGCAAAAGACAAAGATCCCCCCCGTATAGCCTTAACAGACTGTTGAGGCAAGTGCTGTTAGCGAGAAACTATGAAAGCCAGGACGGCACACAATGGGGTGGGTGGCCAGCACCACGCCCGACTATTGCCTTTGTCTAACGAGTGGCGACGTTTACACATCGCACCAGGTACTCATTTGAGGCCGAGTCGAAGCTCGGGGAGGCTCATGACCAGTTCAGATAATCGTCACCAGTGTTGGCCGTGCGAGGGAATCGAACTCTGATCGTAGGGTTCTTAGCGCAGCGCGTAGGGTTCTTAGCGCAGCGTGCTAACCACTCCGCCACTGCTCCCCACTTGTACAAATACAAACACATGGTAGCACGCGCACACATCTCTGAAGTTCATGCTATCCTCTCTTGCACACACGCGCATAGTGGTATTCAAACAGCTTATGCAAACACCCCCTAAAGTAAGTCCAACCTAGGGGGAGTCCCAAAGCAGGTTTTGGATATTATTCGCCACCGATGTAATCCATGGTCGAGAACCTAACCTAGGTCACTGGGTTCACGGCGAAGTGCACCAACCGCGGCGCCACTGCTCTCATCGCACACAAATATACATTAGCAGCGTGGCAGAAAGCCAGAAAATAAGCCCAGCTCCCATCCGCCCTTCTAGATTGTGTGATCTCAAAGGCAGTCCCCCAAGGAGGGCAATAGAAACTTATCTGTTCAGTCTCATCTTTCCCAGTGAAGCAAGCGCTACGTGTGGCTCGGCGAGCGGCTTCCTGATTGCGTGCAGCCCGCTCGCGTCACAACATTCCCCGAACCAGCGAAGGGGACGTGGGGGCCATTCCCAGGACACAACGGTGCTTATGCATTGACACTGCCCCTGTGTATTTCACTGGCGTCACTGCCCTTCTCCCAATGCCCAAAGGAAATCTATCCGCCGTGCCACTCGTTGACAGTTCTGTTGTACGTGCGGGACGGGGCGTCCTTTTGCTCGCGCTAAATGCGTTCTCTCCCAGGGCTCCGCGTCAGGGTTTAGGAAGGGACACTGTGCAGTGTTTGTTTTGTTTTGTGCACTCGTTGTAAATTTCATACTGCAAAATTAAATTGTTTGTTATTGTTCTTTGCAAAGTTTAAAATATATATAAACTTGAGATACCTCACTGACCATGTACTTAAAACATTGTATAAATGCTCATGCTATAATTTAAAAATAAGTGGTCATACAGTATATATTAAGGAACCCTGGGGAAACTAAATTATTTCGACCATGCTGCAGTGCTAAAATGTATGACTCATGATTAAGTGATTGTCATCATGAGCCACGATCTATCCACTGCTTGATGTAGGCCTCCCCAAGTTCACTAGCTCTCAAGGCCACATGATGATACTATCCATCGAGCTCCCGTCCACAAGCCGATCTCATTGCTCCATCTCCGCTGTGGACGTGCTTCAGGCGAAAAACCCCTTCTTTGGCTGCAACTCCGCCATGAGTCTCCACCACAGGCTTTCATCCGTCCCGAGGATGGTGTGTCATGCCGAAGGACAACTTTCTTTTCACAAGTTAACACTGTGTCGCTCACATGTGTACACTCTCATCCATGTGTTTCTCTGCCTCCCAGTGTAATTCAAAGCCTGCACCTTTCCACACTTCTCTCTGCAAGTTTCTGCTTTTGTTTAAATGTTGCTTGCCAATGTGTATATTTCACGAGAGGTAATATACAACTGATGTAAAGAATTGTTCTTTAGGCACATGGGTACCGTGTGTAGCTTTTCACCATCAAGTTTTTTAAAAGCCCTCCACAGCCTGGTCTCACCCACCTCTTTATTTCACTATTTTTTTCCGGTTGCCTTCAGTGACTGCCCTGGGATACACAGGCGCTCCGATGTTTTCCAGCCGTGTCCCTCCAACGGATACGTTCAAATGTTCGGCGAACTTGGTGGATGTAGACGTTTGTTTTGCTCGTATTTATCTTTTGCTCAACCTTGCAGCCCTTGTTCAGGTTCCCCAATTTGCTCTTCAGCAGCGATGATTTTTCTCCGTCACCATCTTTAACAGCATGCAAATGCTCCGATGAAGAAGGGGTTTTTCGTGATTTTACGTGAAAATGTTGGGCACTCTTCAACTCAAAACCTTGGGTTTTTTCCCCATGTGCACCAACTGGACATGATGTGCTTGTTTCATGAATTATTTTAACTCTTCGTTGCTGGGTTAAGGATTTGAAAAGGAATACATCTATTAAGGGTGACCAAAATTTTTGTAAACAAGGTAATGCGATCCCATATTTTGTATATTACAAGTAATGCAATTACTTGATAGCTTTTATGATTCATTTCCTCAAATTAAATTACACTGAATGTATTTAAGCTTAAATATTACTGCACGATGCTGAAACTGTAGGTCATGTCATATAATCCCTATGCTATTATTCCCGTATTAACCCAAAGCTGCTCACATGAACATTTCTCCTTTGTTCTTGGAATGATTTTACAAATGAAATAAAATTGTTAAATGTAATCAACTGGTACATGCTACATAACATGAAAATCATTATAATTGGTTTTTTACCCTTTTATCTGGCAACAAAACTGACACATTTTTTAGTCAGTTTTGTTGCCAGATAAAAGGGTAAAAAAACAATTATCATATTTTGCTACTGGGAAAGGAGGTTCCAATGATGAAAATCATTACACACTAAAATGAATAACATTACGGGATTACCACAACCTTTAACATTTTTCCACTCTGGCTGATATTGGGAAAGCTCTCTCTTAGCTATTGCTCTATAGCAACTACGTACGAGGTTTTCCACATTGACTTAAACTAAACAGCGCCTATACTCAATGCCCCATTTATCACTTACTTAACATCTCGCTCTGTTTTACTTGGTGCATAGCCTGAAAACATTAGCACCCCTCTCTTCAAACATTAGTGCTCCTGAATGCTAAAGGGAGGAGACAAACGGTTTGGGCTTTTGGAGCAATGTCTCTTTGCCATGGTCAGTGGGACATTATCCTCGGTGCGATACTTGTTGGGCCCAAAAGTAGTAATTACCACTGCAGCCCGATACCCTCGAGTTTCAGAACCGAGGCACCGAGATCCTCGTTTCAAACCAAACCACAAAGGCCGGGCCTGACATCAGTTGCCATGTCACAGCGGCAAGGCAGAAATGAGACACATGTGTCGTCACTTACTTACATTTACGCGCTGTGCTGCTGTTAAAAGCACAGTGGCAAACATTTTCGTCATCGGCCACAATCAATGCACTGTGAAAAACATAAGGGCCCCCCCCCGCCCAGCCACCTCCAGGTTGTGCAAGGGAGGTCGGAGAGAAGGTGAAAAGCGATGGGGCATACAGGCACCATGAGGGGTGCCGCAGTGGCGAGATGTTAACCACCTCGCCAGGTATACAGGAGGCTGTGGGTTTGATCCCGACTCTGACGCCTGTCTCTCTCCCCGTGGTCACGTGGATTTTTCTCCGGGTCCTCCGGTTTTTCACTCCACATTTAGAAAGATGTGTTTAAGAGTATTTGGCTACTATACATTTCTACATGAGAAGCCATTTCTTTGAGTGGTAATTTGTTGCCAGGTCGCTTCTGAAAAAAATTGCAATAGAGCTCAGATCTTCCTTGGTCAAATAAAAATAGTTTATATAGTTTTAGTTTACTCGTGGAGCATGAGACAAGAAACCCAGGCCTTGGTGCTGTTCCCCAATGGAAATGTGGCAATAATGGACTCTTACCTGGTCGATAGAAGACATTGCAATGAATGAAACAGTATATTCTTGGTTCTTTCGGTAAAGTCACGTAGAAGTGAAACAATAAAATAATAAAAATATAAAACAATAAAATTCTCCACAGGTTTTCACACCTGAGGTTTTCACACCTGATGATGATTGCTTGTGTTGCAATCGAAACGTCCTGATAATTTTATTGTTTTATATTTTTATTATTTTATTGTTTCCCTTCTACGTGACTTTACCGAAAGAACCAAGAATATGAATCCCCGCAGTCACGAAAGCTTTAAATCAGAATGAAACAGTATCGAGTACTTACATTCCTTGGACATGCCAACTTCAAGGCAGCGTTGCAGGCGGCAGTACTGGCAGCGGTTACGCGTTATCTTGTTGATGATGCACTTCTTGTCACGGTGGCAGGTGTACACCATGTTCTTCTGAATACTCCGGCGGAAGAAGCCCTGCCGACAGAAGCCAGTTGTTGCGCATGAGATCAGGAGGTGCTGCTCACTAACGGCACTTGCCCCAACAGTCTGTTCAAGGCTATATGGGGGGGGGGGGGGGGGGGGGGTCTTTGTTATGTTGTTTTGCACCCCCCACCACCACCCCTTCTCCGAAAGCTCAAGACGGCCGTTGCAAGTCACACGTAGCAATTGTAAATAATACTTTCATTTGTATTCATCTATATTAAATTTTCGAAAATGTTTTTCCATTTTGGAATGTTGTGTTTTTTTTTTTCAGGGTGTGTTTGCTCGTAACAAAGTGTGTTATTTATCCTTGCAAAGAGACCAGTCGGTAATCAAGGCTGATGCTGTTTACATGCCACACAACACCTGACCACCACTTCTCCATAAACTTGAGCAGCAATCAATCAACACCCAAACTTGACGCTCTGCTCTTACAGATCTCTTCCCCCCCCTCCCCGCACCCTTGTTGCCAACCTCTTAGGTGCACATTCCTACGCTCGTCTGGGTGACCTCCCTCTTCCGCTGCGCTGCACGTGTGCCTCCCAACACAAACTCCTTTTGCTAGTTATACGCTTTGCTACCATCGTTTTTTTTTTCTAAACTCATAAGTTTCTTGTCCTAAACTACCACAAATTCCGAGCATTCTTTGCACGCAGCTTATAATGTGCATTGCAATACGAGTGTATGCTGTGCAATGTGGTCATGGCATTGCATATTGTACTGTAAATTCATACAAAAGGTAACATGGTACTCATTATTTATATTTTGTTTTTATTATACAATGTGACTCATACAAATTATCAACTTTTCTCCTTTCACCATCTCATTGACAGTGGCTCTCTCCTTGTGTGGCTAAACCCATTGAACTCTCCGACTTTTCCATGTGCAAAGAATGGTCGTCACGAGTTTTCTTCCACGAGTCTCCGAAGACCATTTGTTCCTCACAGACAGCGAGTTATTCGTAGCATCGTGAACCCTTGGTACCGCTCCCATGTTCATCGTGTTCTAGGGGGGTTTCACCGAGTACAAAAGTGCACAGCCACCACTAACAGCCAGATTCCACCAGCAGAGCAACGACAAAGTCTAAGTGTCCGGACCTGTTGCAAGCAATCACAGGCAATTGCACGTGAGGAAGAGAGGCTTAGATTACGAGATACTAGTTTGATCATTTACAGGAAAGGTTCACAACGGACATGGCCAAGAGCTATTTTTCAAGTTTATTTGTTTTACATCAAACTATTTGTTCGTAGGGGACAATGACAATATAAGTGTGGTAAACGTGACAGAGGGTGCAGCAGCACTGCAAATCAACAATACTTTACTACGGAGTAGTGGTGCTTTCAGATGAAACATTTTTAACCATCAGGATTTTAATTAAAATGTCGCAATATCTTCAAACATGTTGACACATTAACTCGATACATATAGAACACTAGCTTTACTACCCGGCTTCGCCCGGGACTTGGATTCTTGTCTTAGATGAATACGCGGCCTACGCCAGAGGGTGGGGGGTGCGTGACGTCAGCAGGCACACTGCGTGACGCTGCCGCATGCGGGTGACATCACAGATGTGACGTCACCGCTCACTTGGCGTGCAAAATATATCCCTTATTGTGCCCCCCCCCCCTCCCCCCAAAATACAAAAGTCTATTTTTATACTTTTTACTTTGTGTACAGTCTGGAAGCTACCCACATGCCAAATTTCAAGTTTGTTGCATATCGGGAAGTACGCTAAACATTTTGAACAGACACACATTCACAAATTTCCCTTTTATATATAGATGTATAAACAAAGGCAATGATTATCATGTTTGTTAACAAGGAGTGAACATAATTGCCAGGAGAGGTACATTTAAATGAAGCACAACTGGTCACATTCCAAACCCGTGTAAATCTAAACCTCGTCTTATTCCTGATGATACATCGCATGATGTGAAGTGTCGCAGTCATTTAAAATGCAGAACAAATCTACAATTCTAGTTGGTAAATCATGCGTTTGTTAAATGTAAAAGAAATAACGATCGGCATGGTGCTTTTTTAATATAAAATATAGGCCCACCAGGACCAGAATCTGAATATCACTGCCAAAACAAACCCAATGCACCTTCTTGAGGGGAGCACACATACAGAAAATAAAATGATCCCTGGGGTCCTCTCTGAGAACAATGCTTTTTTTGCATTCTAACTTTAAGTTTGAAAAACAAAAAGGATGCCTTTGGATACTTTTCTCAAGACAACTTTTTTTTTTACACGCAAAAAAACTGTTCTGGGTTAGGAAGTCTCATTTGCGATTTAAAGAGCCATTGAGCTCTTCCAATGGAAACATGCGTTAAGATTTATTTGGCTGCTATACATTTCCACGTTGATAAGCCACTTCGTTGGGCTATCATTTGTGATAGCCAAGTTGCTTCTGAAAAAAAGAGCTATATCGCTCAGTGGGCCCCACCTGGCAAAATAAAAAATAGTTTAGTTTTAGTTTAGGGTGCACCTGAACAGCTCGTTCTGTTTTACAAGCAGTGCCAATCAATGCGTGTTTTTATTGACACGTTTAACAAGAGGATGGCAGTTTCATCTTAAGACATATTGAGGTATCGCTCAGAGGAAACTGCGCAACTCATTGCCTTGTGATGAACGGGAAACATTCACAAGACAAAGTTATACATTTTGTATAACTTTTACATTCAGTCAGCTAGATGGGAACAGTGGCAGTGATACCACACCTCTGTCAGAGGTCAACACAAACCGATGATCCTTCTGGACTATATTGTGACAAGTCAGGAGTGTTTCTCTTTGTGCTTTTTAATATCTAATACCCCTTTTCCACTTGCACATCCAAGCCAAGCTCTCAAGACAAAGTTATACCAGGGGCATAACTCCCTTTATTGAAAGTACAAGGCAGCCTGTCTTGTTATACAGATTACAGCAATCAACACAATGATTTTCATTTAAAAGAAAGTGTAAAGCTCAATGGAAAACGTGGACCAGACTACCCGAGGAACGTTTCTACATCGCAATGCCACAACATTCGGACGCTGTCTTTCCGAAAGACCTGTTCTTCACCTGAGGACGGCTGCTTGCGTTGTGGCCGAAACGTCGTGAAAATTGTATTTTATTATGTTTTATTTTTATTATATTATTATTTCCCTTCTACGTGACTTTACCGACAGAACCAAGAAAATGCCACAACGATTGGCGTGAAGGTGGACGCAACACGTTTGTAAATAAATATACATTTTATTGTCAATACATCGCTGAATGAAGGCATCCCCATGCCGTGTCAGTCGTTGCGATTGACTGGTCATACTTTTCGATTTAAAGCTTTCGTGACTGCAGGGATTCATCTTCTTGGTTGTTTCGGTAAAGTCACGTAGAAGGGAAATAATAAAATAATAAAAATAAAGCATAATCAAATAATTCTCACGACGTTTCGGCCACAACGCAAGCAGCCGTCTTCAGGTGGAGAACAGGTCTGTCGAGAGACAGAGTCTGTTCTCCACCTGAAGACCGCTGCTTGCGTTGTTCTCCACCTGAGGACGGCTGCTTGCGTTGTGGCCGAAACGTCGTGAGAATTATTTTATTATGTTTTATTTTTATTATTTTATTATTTTCCTTCTACGTGACTTTACCGAAAGAACCAAGAAGATGGTCATACTTTACCACGCTGGTCAGCATGAGCTGGCAAAGGGGAGAGAGTAGGACTCGTTCAGATGACCACTCGCCATTAGCATAAGCCATGGCCGGGAATCACACTCAGGCAGCCCAGTTCATAGTGCAGGAAAGCAAATCAGTGCACCGCGACTCCATTCCACCAAGTTGACATTGAAAAGTTAAGGAGAAACATAATTTATTTCTATAACAGAACAATATTTTGCGTTTTAATTTCCCCTGTGAGGGTTTTGTATGTATGTGCCAAAGTTTACCAGAGAAGCAAACCACATGCCAAGATAATATATATTTTTCTATTTGTGACACTTCTAGATTGAGATTCATCCAACAGATACGCATTTTCTTTGGCTACATTTAGCAAAGCCCTTTAAAGATATATAATAAGATTCCAAAGAACATTCATGGAATCCAGTCGTAAACAATTTGATAGACTTATTCAATGAACAGAGCCATTAATGCACTCCGATACTTTTATTCTGGGATGGCCATGCTTAGAAAAGTGATCTAAATGCGATAGAACAATTAAACCTAATTGTAAGCTATCACAGAGGACATGGAGACTCAACCTCTATGGCTTAAGCCCTGCACGATTCAATTAGACCTTCTCCCTGCGGCTTATCTTCGTTTAATCTCTTTATTAAATAGCTCCTTAATCTCTGTGTGGAGCTGTGGAGCTTGGCTTAATTTCCAAGCAGATAATTGCCTTTGCCGAGCACCAGCTGATGTGAAAACAGTTGCTGATTATAATCCCTGCCAGTGGCTTTTCCTGGCACCGGTGCCATCCCACCCCCCTCCTCGTCCCCCCCCCCCCATCGACTTGAGCCCCACCCTGTCCCTCCAACAATCACTCCCCACCTCAACTCCACAGGGCCCCACTGACCACACAGTAGCAGTCGCCATTCAAAGCTACAGCTGTGACTTCATTATTGAAATGTCTATTGGTTGAGACGTGGGGCAAGTCTTCATCAACGCCTCTTTCTCTCGAGTTGAAAAATGTGCAATCTTCATCGTGTCAAATGGCGGGGGGAGTTTAATGGGATGTTTTATAATTAGCCGCTGCAAGTTTGCACGGTAGGCTACGTACGGTGCGAAAGAAGTTCAACATACATACATACATAACATGTAAGTATGTAAAATTATCTCTGAGAACACAATGGTCCTTAACCCTATATATCATTAATACATCTGGATAGTCGCAAGTTGAAATCTCAATTGAAATCTCAGTTTGGGGTGCTGCGGTGGCGAGATTTTAACTACCTCGCCTGATATGCAGGAGGTCTTGGGTTCGATAAGACCTTGACGCCTGTTGTATATTTGAAGTTTGCATG